CTTTGGTAAGTAACATTGCCAAATGGTAACTCCTTGGGTGCAAGATCTGGTACTCACAGCCAGGGGAAGCCCCACAAGCTGCAGAGGTAATAGCAAAAGGAGGAAATAGTACCAGTTATATTTTAATAGAAAATAATGAGTGTCCTACTTATGCACCTAATAAATTTCTGCTAAAAGCTTATTAGTTGTCTTCTCCTTTGTACTCCCAAAATGTTAATATTATGGCTAAGACTGAGATTTTACAGAAATTCATCTCTTTGGCTTTGAATGACACTGAACACAGGGTGGCTGCCTTAAATGAAGAGACTGCAACCATGCAAAAGGTGGTGTTACAAAATCGGATGGCCCTGCATAAGTTCACCATGACCCAAGGAGACATCTATGCCCTATTAAAAATTTAATGCTGTGTCTATATTCCTGATAATGAAGCTTTAGTGAAATCACCCCCTTGTTGCTGTTAGCTGCCATCAAGTTGGTTCTGACTCATAGCAACCCTATGTACAATAGAATGAAACAATGACCGGTCCTGCGCCATCCTCATGATTGTTGTTATGCTTGAGCCCATTGTTGCAGCCACTATGTCAATCCTTCTCGTTGAGGGTCTTCCTCTTTTTTGCTGACTCTCTACTTTGCCAAGCATGATTATCACTCCCTTATACATTCACAAACACAACCAAATAGAATTGAGCATTTGGGAAATGATACTTGGTGGGCTGAGATCAAGAGGTGGTTCTCTGGATGGGGAACCTAGTGGGAAAACAGTTATTTCTGGATTATTATGTATAATTATTGGAGAGATGTTTTGTTATACTTGCCTTTACTGTCGGTGTAGGTGTTGTTTACAATGTTTCACAAATTGGGACTTAAGACTCTAGTGACATTACCCCCCTCCCATGCAGGCTCAGGGAAAATCACGGAAGAGGGAGGCACATGAAATTATAAGAGCCGGGCAGAAAAGGGTGGATAGTGAGGGTCATGAATAATACAAGATGGTCCTTCTGACAAAGGATTCTGGGAGAGAACCAGAGTACCTGAGCGTGACCTGGCCATGAATAAACACCCCAAACACCTGACTTCATGGAAACGTCAATTGGAACCCATTAACTAGTACAGAACAACCCATCCATCATAGATCAAACACATTTTTTTCCTGGACCCCCTGCACATATCCTTGCACATAACACTAAGTATATAAACTCCTACCCTGCACTGCCATGCGCGGACCTCTGCCAGGTGAGTGGGCACAGTCTATCGCAGGAATCTGGGTGCCGAACTCTGTCTATAAATTCCCTAATAAAAGCTAGATCTGATCAACTTGGCTTTTTCCACCTCTTTTCTTGGAATTCCACCTGTGACCCTTGGAACCACTGTTGCTGCTGGTCCAGTGGGGTGCAACAAGTCGCTGCAACCTGTGGCTTGACAAAACAAGCTGAAATTGTAAGCACCATCCTGGTCCAGGGGACAGAACGAACTTCAACAGCCCTACAGAATCCTGAACCCAGGGCTTGGCTTTATTAGCACTGTACTTGCACCCATGGTACTTAAGTTGTGGTCTTGTACCAGCAGCACCAGCATCCTCTGGGAGCTTGTGGACATCCTTGCTGCTCAAATTGAGGCCCTCGGAACCAGCATCATTGGCATTACCTGACAGTGCATTAGAAATTCAGACTGCCGTGGATTCGATTCCAACTCATAGCAATGCTACAGGGCAGAGTAGAACTGCCCCAGAGGGTTTCCAAAGCTGTAAATTCTTACAGAAGCAGACTGCCACATCTTTCTCTCATGGAGTGGCTGGTGGGTTCAAATTGCCGACCTTTTGGTTAGCAGCTGAGTACTTTAGCCACTGCACTACCAGGGCTCCCTTTCTCAGACCCCATGCGGATCCAAATGGATGAGAATTTGCATTTTAACAAGATTCCCTGGAGATTTGTGGGCACATAAAAATTTGAGAAGCACTGCTTTCAAAGCCCAGCAATTCTAAATGCTGGGAGACCAGCTGGTTAAGAAACAGCTGGAACATCTTTATAAATTTATTTGTAAAAATTTTTGTAAGTTCAGGAAGAAGATGGCAGGTCTAGAATAAGACCTGGGTTGTCTTTTTTTGAGCCATTTCCAGTAGGGTCCTCAGCCTTTCAGCTGACCTACCCTGAGTGCAAGACCACTGTGAGAGCTGCCTGGGGAGGTTTAACTCCTTGGCCGCCCATGGAATCACCTGGAAAGCTTTGAAAAAATACTCATACTTGGGCCTCTCCCTTAGGGAGTCTAGTATAATTTGTCTGGAATATGGCCTGGGCGTCAGGATTTTAAAAAACTCCCCAAATGATTCTAATCTGCAGCTAAAGTTGTGAAGTAATGGGGGAGATGTTCTTGTTTGCGCAGATTACAAAAGAAGATTCAATCCATTTCCCAAATAGGGAAGCAGAACATAAGCACAGACATACTAAATACAAGCATAAATCCTGCATTCGCAGCATTTTAGTTTTTTTATAGTTTTTATGTGCAAAACGAATTATGAAGAAGCCCTGGTGGCGCAATGGTTAAGCACTTGGCTGCTAACAAAAAGGTTGGCAGTTTGAACCCACCCAGTGGCTCCAAGGGAGAAAGACCTGGTGATCTACTTCCATATAGATTACAGCCTAGGAAACCCTATGGGGCAGTTCTAGTCTACCACATAGAGTTGCTATGAGTTTGAATCGACACGATGGCACACAACAACATGTGCAAAATAGGGTTGCTGTAAGAAGTAAATGAATGAATATCTAGCATCACTCTAAAATCTCCCGTTATGATGGCAGAATTGTTTATTTCTACTTGGAGTTTTGTCAATTTTCGAAGTATATATTTTGATGCATTTTTATTTGGTGCTTATAAATTTAAAGTCATTATCTCTTCTTTGTAAAATAAATCCTTTATCATAATGAAGAGACTTTCCTTTTCTCTAGCAATGCTTTTCAAAATGAAGCCTATGTTTTTATATTAATATAGCTACATCAGATTTCTTTTGCCTAGTAGTACAGTAGCGTACTTTTCCATCCTTCAACATTCAAAGTTTCTATATGCTTATGTTTTAGATAGATCTCTTGAATGACATATAGTTGTGTTTTTAAAATCTAGCCAGACAACCTTGATTTTTAACTAGAGCGTTTCGTCTATTTTATGGAATTATTGATACATATTGGTGATAATAAAAATACTTAACAAACCAAAAATTGGTGGTTCAAGTCCACCCGGAGGCACCTCAGAAGAAAGGTCTCGTGATTTAGTTTAAAGAAATTAACCATTGAAAATCCTATAGAGCACAGTTCTACTGTGACACACATGGGATCACCATGAGTCAGAATCCACTTAGCAGCAACGGGTAGCAGTAGTAGGGTACTCTTTGGAGGTGATAGTTCTGACAAGTGACCATGAGGGGCAACTCAGGGGAAACTCAGGCATTCGCAGCTTTGAAAGGAGATGATGTTGTGGATTGAATTGTGTCCCCCGCAAAATGTGTGCCAACTTGGCTAGGCTATGATTCCCTGTATTGTGTGGTTGTCCTCCCATTTGTGATCTGATATGCTGTAAATCCTAACCTCTATGATGTTAATGAGGCAGGATTAGAGGTAGTTAAATTAATGAGGCAGGACACAATCTACAGGATTAGGTTGTATCTTGAGTCAGTCTCTTTTGAGATAAAAGAGAACTGAACAGAGAGGAGAGGGACCGCCTACCACCAAGAAAGAAGAGCCAGGAGGGGAGTGCATCATTTGGGGTCCCAGTGCTGAGAAGCTCCCAGACCAGGAGAAAATTGATGACAAGAGTGACAGAGAAAGGTTTTCCCTGGAGCTGGTGCCCTGAATTCGGACATTAGCCTCCTAAACTGTGAGAGAATAAATTTCTGTTCGTTAAAGCCATTCACTTGTAGTATTTCTGTTATAGCAGCACTAGATGACTAAGACAGATGGGAACTAGGCATTTGCTCTCTGGGGTTCCAGCACTGCCTCTAAAGGCCAGGGTATGCCCAAGGATATGGGCTGGGGCACAGACATGTGGTAAACTAGGGGACACAAGGGCAGTGCCCATCTCTGGGATGAGGGTGGCTGTGGGCACTCAGGGGGCTCAGGGCAGTGGCTATTTACCAACTTGTACAAAAGTTGGCAGTTCGAGTCTACCCAGAGGCACCTCAGAAGAAAGGCCTGGTGATCAACTTCTGAAAAATCAGTCATTGAAAACTATGGAGCACTGTTCTGCTCTAGCACACATGAGGTTGCCATGAGTCAGAATCAACTCATTAGCAAATGGTGGTGGTGGATGGAAAAAATAAATATTTTAACAATCAGTACTGCTGTACATGCAATTCAGAATTAGGCCTGCTGAGATATTTCAGTTTAAATCTTTGTACTGCTTTATGTTGCTTTTTCTCTACTTTTTGCAGTCTTTGATGGATTGAATACATTTTATTATTTCTTTTTTTCTCTCTCTAATGGTTTAGAAGTACTATATTCTGTTTCTATTCTTTTTAGTAATTACCCTAGAAATTACCTCATTTATCCCAAACTTTTCAAAGTCTATTATTAATCAATACATTTACTTTCCTGCCTGACAATAAAGGGCCTCAGAATACCTTAATTCCATTGATCTCTACCTCCTACAAACTTCATGTATTTTAATTCTTCATATTTAAAAAAATTCCTTAAGACATTATCATTATTATTAATTTTTGAAGATAATTCCTTTTGATATTTACCACTTCTTTATGCTTCATTTCTTCTTCCAGCATTACCTTTTCCTGGGATCATTTTCTTTTTGCCCAAAGCACATCCTTTAAAATTTCCTTTAGTGAGGGTGTTCTCTTAGTCTATAAATATTTTTATTTTGCCTTTATTCATAAAATATGTTTCCTTGAGAATAGAATTCTAGGTTGGCAATTATTTTCTTTCATTACATTTAAGATATCACTTCATTGTTGCTGTCAGGAAGCCAACTGTCAGTCTAACTGTTATTCCAATAAAAGTAACCTACTTTTTTCCCTCTGGCTGGTTTTAAGATGTTTTTCATTTATTTTCTGCAGTCGCACTATTATACTTTGGTGTAGAATTCTTTTTATTTGTCCTACTTAAGATTTGTGGAGCTTTTGGTCTTTTATCATTTCTGGAAGATTCTCAGTTATTATTTCTTCAAATACTGCCTCTGCTCCATTCTTTCTAATATGCTGTTAAACACACTACATCCAATAATTTTGGTTATTGTAGTTTTCATTTCTAGAAGTTCTACTTGTTTTTTTCTTTAATCAATTATGTCACTTTTTATAGTTTCCTATTCCTTGCAGATATGTTCAAACTTGATATAGTATAGATTTTTCTTTTCTTTTAAGAATCTGTGTCTGGTAAATCCAATATCTAATGCATTTGCGGGTCTCTTTCTGTTATCTGAGGAGCCCTGGTGATGTAGTCGTTAAAGCACTCGGCTGCTAACCAAAAGGTCAGTGGTTTGAACTTGCCAGCCATTCTGTGGGAGAAAGATGTGGCAGCCTGCCTACTTAAAGATTTACAGCCTTGGAAACCCTGTGGGGCAGTTCTACCCTGTCCTATAGTGTCACTATGAGTCGGAATCAACTCAACAGCAATGGGTTTTCTGTTATCTAT